GGAGAAGTCTTCACTGCACATGAATGAGCAGTTACCCAAGTACCTGGAATCTTATTTTAGAATGTAATATCAGCACCAGTCAGTAGCTACTCAACTCTATTGTCCTGTTATAGCACTCTGCAGGGGGATGGGGGGGTGGGAGGAGGGAGGATCTCAATTCAAAGTGCAGCTCATACATTGCTGTAGGACTGCAAATTGGTGCAACCACTTTAGAAAGCAGTAGGGGATTCCTCAAAAAACTAGGTATGGAACTATCATTTGACCCAGTTATAATACTCCTAAGTATATATCCAAGGGAGTTAAAATCAGCATACTACAGTAACACAGCTACATCCATGTTTACAGCAGCTCAATTCACAATAGCTAAACTATGGAACCAAACTAGGTACACTTCAACAGATGAATGGAGGAAAGAATATGTGGTATATATACACAATGGAATATTACTTAGCTATAAAAATGAATGACTTTATGACCTTTGCCAGTAAATGGATGGATCTGAAGACTATCAAGCTAATTGAAATAAGCCAATCCCCTAAAACCAAAGACCAAATGTTCTCTCTGATGTATGGATGCTAACACTCAACAAGGTGATGGGGAAGGGGATAGAAGTTCAGTGGATTAGACAAAGGAGAATGAAGGGAAGAGAGAGGCCATAAGAATAGGAAAGACAGTGGAATGAAACTAACATGACTTTCCTATGAATATATATAAATACACCACTGTGAATTTCAACATCTCGTGTACATCCACAAGACTGGGATCCTAATTAGAATAAGACATGCTTCATGTTTGTAGATATGTCAAAATATACTCTACTGTCATGTATAACTAAAAATAACAAAAAATTTAAAAAAAAATGAATTCAAAGTACAGCTTAGGCAATGAAAGATTCAGTATAACTGACATACTTCAGTCAGTTCTCGGTGGGTCAAGGAAAGACTCCAGAACAGTCACATTTTGGGAAATTAACTCCCTAGGGGTCCACATATGGCTGAAAATATGTGGGTACCAAGATGAAGGGACACATTGATTTCTTATCTGCTAAGAAAATTGGGGTCTGCTGAACCTTTCTCCAACCACCAATTTTCTCCATATCTTCAAGGAAATTTTCAAATGAAAGAAAACATTTGACATAATAATACAAAATTTAAGGGAGGAACTGAATCTGAAAAAAAGGTTTCTAACTTCTCAGTCTAACATACTTTTCATTGAAGTGAAAGAGACACCAGCAACTGAGAAGAAAACTTTTACCCAGTGGCTCATTTCTCTTAGAAAGAATGTTCTTTAGTTTTGTTTTTGTGGTGCTGGGGATGGAAACCAGGGTCTCCTCATACTCACCTAGTGCTGAGCCAAACCCCAGCCCCAATAACCTCCTTTCATTACAGTGGTGATAGTTTTTCAGGTTCTCATAAATTTAAAAATTATAGATAAATAAGACAGGATCTCAGAGATGGGAAAATACCCATATTCAAAGTTGCAAGAGCTGGATTATCACCTTCCAACAGTTTTGTAATCTTTATCAGAAATATCAGAAATTCACTGATTTCCATGGGATGATCATAAATTAGCTGCAAGAAACTGCTCATAAACATTACCAGTAAATTAGGGGAAATGATTTTATAATGGAAAATAATGTGCAATATATTACCTTTCCATCTGTAATTGAATCTATTCCTAAGAAACAAAATATTAACAAGTTATTCATAATGCTTAATTCATTTTATATGAATAATGCTGACTGATGGTCCAGATAAACCCGTATTTACTGATCTTATTACTTAAAGCGTCCTCTATTCTCTCTGTGGAATTATTTTGACATGAAAAAATAAAAGTAAGGGAGGTCACAGCTTTCTGTCTTAAATGTCATTCTTGGGGCCAAGCAAATTATAATTACAAACCAATGACCATTTGTCTCTAAACTCCTGAATCTTTAATATAAGCCACGAAAATATGTGCTTTTTTAAAAAAATTAAGGTGCACAATATATTTTAAAACAAAGTTTTTTTAAAAAATAAAAAATAATATTGACAGGTAAACCAGTAAGTGTTGTTTTTCTTTTAATATAATTGTATGTTTTATACCTTTATTTTATTCATTTATATATATGTGACACTGGATTGAACCCAGTGCCTCACACATGCTAGGCAAGCACTCCACTACTCAGCTACAGCCCCAGCCCACCCAGTTAGTGTTTTTAATATCAACATTGCTGAAGTTTCTAGTTCAATGGTATAGAAGACAGGTTTCCACCTGATGACTGAAAACAGGTTTTTTTGTTTAACTGTTTTTTGTTTTGTTTTGCATTTTGCTTTTTTGTTTTAAGAGAGTCCAGTGGCACGGCATCGGGCAGGGCTGAGCTTTAGATTATTTATAGATACCGGCAATAAAAGCAGCATTGATGTTGTCGGTGCTGCATTCGCCGACCTTTAATTTCTCAAATGACCTAATTATACATGTTCTCTATATGTCTTAGGAGAAAAGGAATTGCTGAGACTGTCAAAAGGTAAAATGCTAATATGTTGTGGTGCTTCCCATATTCCATGGCCTGATTATGAGCATCATTAAAAGCACACTTTGACGTTCTCCTGGAACATGGCATCAATAAACATCAATAAAAAATGTTTCATGGTGAGCAGTGAAACATTTCCTGTCTTGAAAAAGAAAGATATCTGACTTCGACCAACATGCCTGACACTACTACTTGCTGTTTGGCCATCTATGATATCTTAATTTATGCATGTATTTATTTGCTAATACTTATTGGCTACTTCACATTTTTTCTATCAAATCTTATTTCTTACAAATGCTGAGTTAGTTTCCTGAGACTTCTGGAAACAAATCCACAAAATTGATGACTTCAAACAACAGAAATTGATTGTCTTACAGTAGTGTATAGGTCAGTAGTTCAAAATCCACCAGGGCTATGCTTCCAAAGTCATCTCTAGGTGAGAGTACATACTTTGTATGTTCCAGCTTCTGGTGGCTGCTCTGGCACTCCTGGCTTGGGGCCACATCACTCTAGTTTCTGTCTCTGTGATCATAACTGCTCTGTGATCACAACTCCTCTTCCATGTGTATTTTTTCCTGTGTGTCTCTCATAAGGACAATTGTTGTTGGATTTAGGTCCCCCCAGATCATCCCGGGCGATCTTCTTTGCTCAAGATTCCTAAGTTAATGACATTTACAATGACTCTCTTTCCAAATAAGGTCCCGTTCACAGGTTTTGGAAATTAGGACGTGGACAGATCCTTTTGGGAGCCACCATTCAATCCACTGCATATGCCAAATTTAAAATGGCAGTGGTTAGTAACCTATAGGCATTTGTCTTAAAACTGTGATTTAATGTATGTTACACAGCTGATTTTTTGTTATTTTTTTTAAGTCTCAAACATTGTGCCTTTTTTTTTTTTTGATGCAACTTCTTACATCAAGTGAGGTCCATGGTTAAATGCATTCATTCATTCTAATACAATTGTTTTTTCTCACTGGTAAATCTAATAGTGTATTGATTTACTTTGGTATCCATATGTAGCTGAATGAGCAGAAAAGCCACTCAATCTCCTTTCTTTCCCTTCTTCTAAAAAGGGAGCAGTGGACAACATAGGAAAGGTCCCTGTTCACAAAGGACTCATCAGGGTACCTGGAGGTAGAGAATCAGCACCAGTGTGTCAGGTATAAATACATAATGCCAAACCATTTGGGTGTCAAATCAAGATTAGCTAGTGGAGCATGTGATATCACATTTGGTATATTCTAATGGTATCAAGCCATCTTGGCTTTCTTCTTAGTATTCATGTCAAGCATCAGTTCTAAATTTTTCAGCATTTCCCAAGATTCTATCAGAATTTTCTAACTGGTTATTTATTTATTTATTTAAGAGACAAATTCTTGCTATGTTGCCCAGGCTGGCAGTGATCTCCTGGGCTCAAAAGATCCTCCTGCCTCAGCCTCCTGAGTAGCTGGGAGTACAAGTGTACATCACTGTGCACTCTTAATTGGCTATTTTTAAAAGAAAGCTTTCAGGGTTCATGGCTGTCATAAACTTTCTTTCCAATATGGACTTTGATTTCAGCATCTGGGAAAAAACACCTTGGAATCATTGCCATCAAGAGCAGCATTTGGACAGTAAAAGAGATTTCAAATCCAATCTTAGCCATCTCTTTCAAAGGATAAGAAACTGCATCATGTTGATATTCTGGTAAAAGGCTATTCATTTGGACCTCCCAAGGAACTGTTGTCTTGATATTTTCATCATGGTAGCATGCCAGATTAAATGAATAAGACCTGGCTCCTGAAACTTGCATAGTTACCAAACAATCTATTTCTAACATAGAAGGAGCTTACAAAATTTATTATTATTATTTTTTAAATCTATGTTACTTCTGAAAGGAATAAATTCAGAACTGAAGTGGTTGGTGTACATTTAATGCAGTTCAATTAAGGATTTGTACACCAAAGTACAAGTTGTTGCTTTCAGTTCCATTTCTAGATTAGTCACACTAGAAATATAGCAACTTTTAACAGCATTGTGCTATTACCAGTGACTTTAATTACTGTTTGGTAATCTTATCTACTTACACCAATATTAATTAAATCCATCTGGGTAGGAGTAGGAGGGGTGTCCCAAAATATGTTGATTGAAAACAGCAAATCATAATCTTTCCTGTGGCTAATTTCCCCAGACCCTTCTTTCCTGAAGACAGATATTGATCACACTATTAATTTGAAAAATTAGTCCTAAAAACTATTCTAAAAATGGAACTTATTTTCTTGGTCTGTTTTAGTGCTTCCTGTTGCAATTAGCTGACTCCCCAGTAGGATGATCCCTTTTTTCTTTCATGATGTTGTAACTGCCGGGGCTTCCTAATGCATCTTCAAATTTCAATTTGTACTCAGTGGGAAAAGTTTTATAGAAACTCCATGAACCAAAGCAGCTCTCCTGACGCAGGATTTACAATCAAAGGAGGCATCACGCATTGAATTTAGTGTGCTATTACCCTCACTCCCATGAACCTGTCTTTCAGCACAATCCACGACAGCAGGAAGACAAAGGCTTTGTTACAACAGAACAGAGCAGAGACATCTGTGGCCGTCAGCTTCTTTAAAGCCAGTAAGTACAGGTAATTTGTTAAAGTCCATAGAATAGAAAAGGGAGCAGTTCTTTTAAGAAAGAGCTTCAACGTCAGACCATCTTCACCAAAAATCCGACTGCATTCCCTAGGAAAGAAAAAAGAGATTAATATGCAGATGCTAATGGGGATCCTTCTTGTCTGGCTGACTCTTCATAGCCATTGTCAGGCAGGAGTGTACTCAAGTCTATCATTCACCTGTGGAACATACTGAACCCAGTTCTGCTACATATGTGTTTCAGGGAGCCTTGGAAAGGAACCCACTGCTCTTCAGCACAGAGATAGGCCCTCTCCTCCCCAGATACTCCCTTGGGATTGCCAGGGCAGACATTTGGCAGTCTATGGACATTCTCAGAGAAGCCTGGAGAAATACAGAAATAAGTAATTGCTGAAATGACTACCTATTGAAAGGAGAGTTTTTTCCCAATGGGCAAATGCAACAGGATCAAGATGGCAGCTGCCATGTGACCAGACACAGACAACTCCCAGAATCCTGTGGAGCAGGGGGCCTCGTGTGTCTGTGAAGCCACATCTTGGGGTTTTGTTATTCCTGATTTACTGCGTCTCCTTCTAATATCTCTGCTTAATTGACTAATTTATTTTCCTATCCATATTATTAAGGCAGAAAAATGAGAAAGCCTCTGTGATAACCCTGAAAACAGTAAAAACTAAGTTATGAAATTCAAAACTAAGTTATGAAATGTATGCTTATATGCATACATTGCTATTTTTGGATGAATCATCTGAATTCAATGTGTGGAACTAGTCACTTTAATTAAACCTCTGATTTGTTTATTTCTGATTAAATTGGCTATGAAGCCCATGGGGCCACGTTAATCAAACTGTTCAAGCTAGCGATACATACAGACATTAAAGGAAGTGGTAAGATGACAGTATGTGTATGAATGAAAACCGGCATGCCACTTGGAGAATTTAGCTTAATTTTTTTCACTCAGTTGTTCACAAACATCCAAGCATTTATGGGTGGCTATTATGTGTCCAGTATTTTATTTTCAAGAGTAGTGTAAATATCTTGTTCAAGGCAATGAGTTATTAATATTCAGACATATTTATAACATTTATAATGAAATGTATTTTCATAACTGTGGAGAGTGCTGGTACTAGTTTCTTTCCAGCTTTTACTAAAGACAAACATTGTACTTAATGCCTGTAATTTCAGCAGTTTGGGAAGCTGAGGCAGGAGGATCACAAGTTCAAAGCCAGCCTCAGCAACAGCAAGGCACTAAGCAACTCAGTGAGATCCTGTCTCTAAAAAAAAATACAAAATGGGGCTGGGGATGTGACTCAATGGTTGAGTGCCCCTGAGTTCAATCTCTGGTAACCCCCCACCAAAAAAAAAAAAAAGTAATTTAAGTACCAAAATGATCCCTGACCAGTGTTTGCCTCACACACGTGAAGTATCTTTCCTGACAGGAGGGCCACGTAAAGTGAGAGAGTGATAAAGGTCCTAAGCACAGGGAATATAGCCTTAAATATCAAGTCTCCCAATAAATGAGGCTTCCAAGCAGCTGAGATTCCTGGGAGTTGTAGGTCAATGATTCCAGGAAGGTTTAAAAGTGCATATTGTACACATGATATGTATTGTGGTTTGACTTTCATTGGGTTACAACCAAAAAGGAAAAATTTTCATAAAAAGAAAATGAAATTTTCCCAAAGGTAAATTTTAACTTGACAGTGACACAACTTCAATGATGGGATTACATAACCCCAAAGCAAAGCCTCTGTAAAGTCTACAGAAATCACATGTGCTCACACACTCAGGAAAATCAGTGGCCTCTCTAAAGCAGGGGTGGGGGAGTGGGAGAGTGGGGGGTGGGAGCTTATTCTGGAGCAGCATCACATATAGAACCAGCAGCATGGTGCCTAGACCAGCTTGGGCACAAGGTCTGCTTTCTGTGCTCCCGATGGTTCTGCTCCATGAGGAAGCTGTCATGGAGAGCCAGAGTGGAGAGGCATGGGTTTATTCTGTCATCCATAACCACAGAGCAACTTTTTAAATACAGATTTGTCAGTGACCAAAAGGAAACCCATTTCTGATTCAAGGATTTCTTTTTCTTATCGCTGGCCCTAGGCAGCGGTGGATCTTCCTACCATCATACTGGGTTGAGTGCCCTCAAGAAAAGACTTGGGATGCAGGTGAGGGAACACTTGGATTCCCCAGGGAAGCCAGATAGGGTCCCATGGGAAAAGCCCAGGGACAGAAAGGCTGGTAAAATGCAGTTGCCCAGTAAAGACTCTTCTTACCTGGCGTCAGGTGCTCATTCCTTTATTGTTCTCTTTTCTTTTCCCATTTATTCTCACCACCTACCTTATGCCCATTTAGCATTTCTGCTACTATTGCAGAAATGAAAAATACTATCCAAATGCCAGATCACTTGTGTAACCTTATACTCTGTAAGCACTAAGTGCTAAGAAGTGGGAACACTAAAAAAATTAAAATAAAATAAAATTTTAAAAGATTTTTATAGGGAAGCAATTAGCAGTGGGTCTCTTTGGGGGATGGTAACAAAATTTCTGGATAAGGGGCATTGACAGGTGGCAAAGCTTGGAATGGAGGTTAGTTATCGAATACTTTCTTATATGCCAAATAGCACTTAAAGCACATTTCATAGGTGCCTGGCAGAGTCTAGTGTATCTGCCACTCTAATTAACTTGTTCTAGAATTTTTATTCCCTCTAAGAAAATAACCTTGTTAAAACTATGAGACATAACTTCTTTCTTATAAATTTCAAATTCACCAGAGACAACTGAATTCTGGTGGCATACAATTGGAATGATTAAATCATTGAAAATTACTTCCAAATGGACATTGAAAATTCTTTTAATATAAGTAATAGGGGGAAAATAAAACTAGAAATGCTTTCATACCATTTGGGAGAGAAACTGTCAGAAGTTCTGGTGCTAGGGGAGAACTCCTGTCTCCGGTCTCACACTAAGTCTATCTCCCCTCATTCTGCCTTTGGGAGCTTTGGGAGTCCCTGCTTGGCAGATGGTGTTAATGAGTCTACAGGGAAAACAGATCAAGGATCTAAGAATTTTCTGACAACTCCTTTATAGTTCTCACTAGAGAACAATCCTTTCAAAAATAGTGTTCTGTGTTTAACAATGAAAGCTTTCTTATTTGATCAGAAATAGTCAACTTCATTCTACCTGCACTAACAGGTGGAGGTATCTTGTCAAATCACAGATTTTGCCAAGTTCAGAGTTAGTCTGACATGAGAGATGGGGAGAAGATGAAGCTCATTCCCCAAATATCATTTCTGACAGCAATAGCCTTTTGCAAATGTGTTATCTTAGATAAAACCACCTTGGCTTGCTTTAAAATCTTCTTGGACCACTCTTTTCATTAGACTCTTTTGTCATTTTTATCAACATGTGTATCTAAATCACAGGTATGTTCAGGTGGAACACAGTGCTATCTGGTACACACCACTATTTTAATCTGATACTATTCTGATAACGATGCTCCCCAGCTATAATTTATTACATACTGTTATGGGAAAAAATATGCCTCAAGATTATGTCTATTTTGATAGAATTGAATAAAAATATCTTGAGCAATTGCAAATACATATGGGGATTTATTCTTTCTTCCAAAGCAGACAATATTGATTCTAAGTTTCCTTCTTAAATTATTTAATTATAATTGAGTTGTCATGGACACATATAGCTCATAGTATTCCCAGGTACTTCCAGGTTGGCTATAGGAAATGTAACTTGAGAGAGACCCATCACAGTTTGTTAAGCACTTAGAAATAGTCTTATAATGCACCAATCACAACAGTCATCCTTTTTGTTAGGCATTTCTCTTCTCTTGGGAAGGTTATTTTGGTGTCTGCAAGACAAACTGATGGTCATTCTGCAGAAGACCAATAAGCTCTCACTCTCCCATCTGCTCTCCACCAAGGTCCCTGTTTTCTCGTAGTGGGCTGTTCTGGATGTTATTGCTTATCTCTGGGCTTTTCCTTTCCAAGAAGCTGTGCACTCACAAAAGAGTGTTGAGCCAAATGCTGTGTTTGCCTCAGCACTCTCAACTTCCTCCACTCCCCAAGAGGAGCTGCAGAAGCCAGGCTCAGTGTGAAGCAACCACTAGAACTTACGAGATTCCAGGAAGCCCAGCCACCACTGCTCATGACCATCAGACAGACAGACAAGGCCACATGAGCTCCCAGCCAGCAAAGAATGGAATCTTTTCAAGTTGCCCAGGGCCAGACCTCCCACTGCATGAACCTAGGTCATTTCATCTGCTCAGGCATTGTAGTGTCAGGGATATTGAGCAAATGTTTTGAAACTGTGAATCTTTCAGATTTTTTTTTTTTTTTACTCTGGATTTGAGACATTGAGATTTTTAAAAACATGGCTTTTAGAGATAAGCAGATCTAGATTTAAATCAGGGTTCCATCATTTGTAACTGTTTGACCTTGAACAAATCATTAAACCTTTCTGAATCTGTTTCCTGTTGTGTCAAAATGGGGATAATAGCCCCATCTTAAAAGGTGAATGTTGAGGGACTGGGGTTGTGGCTCAGTGGTGGAGTGCTTGTCTAGTATGTGTGAGGCACTGGGTTTGATTCTCAGCACTGCATATAAATACATGAATAAAATAAAGGTCCATCAACATTTAAAAAATATTTTAAAAAAACGGTGAATGTTGGGCTGGGGAATGTAGCTCAGGGGTAGAGCTCTTGCCTAGCATGTGCAAGGCTTTGTGTTCATTCCATAGTACTGGGAGAAAAAAAAAAGGGGAGGTAAGTGTTGTTACCGATGGTGAATTAAAAAAATAAGTAGCAGCTCAGTGCCCGGCATGTTGTAGACATAATTTTTTAAGGGGAGGGCTGTTTTCTTGGGTTCATTATCAACTTCAGACCCTGCTTCTCACTCCCCAAGAACTCAACTCATATTGTGAAGAGATGAAACTATGTATACATACAGATGTATATTTTCCCAGACATCCCCTACTGGCCATTTAACATGAAACCTACCTGAATTTTTTCATTGGAGATTGCTTTTCTTGAGCAGTGGCCAGATGACCAGAATAATAGACCGGAAAAAACATAATGTTCCAGTTTGTTGAAAACCATGTCATGAAAAATGGACAGTAGAAGTTCTTATAAGTAATTTTTACAATCTGTGTGGTTCCAACCCAAGACGAAGAAACTGACAATATGATCAAGAGTCCCCAGACGGCCTTCAGAACCACGGACGTGCAGGACAGGCAGCGAGCCTTGATTCTGTTTTCTTGGCTGCTGTTCTCAGGATGAGTCTGTGTCCCATCTTCCCCTGAAAACAGGAAAGGAATACAAATACAAATGTGTGGGAATCAGGTTACAAAACAGTAATCAAACACATCAGAAACTTAAAAAAGAGGGATGCAACCAAAGAGGAAGATGGCAGAATGTCCAGTGTTTTTCTTTTCTACTACCATCAGAAGAGATTGATAATTCTGGCTTGTTTTCTCTTATAATTTCTGCTCTACAAGGTACAGCATGAACCTGGACGCTATCCAGCACTTGAGGATGCTCATGTACATGGGAGATGCTATGCTGGTCCCCCTTCCTTATGGGAGCACACCCTCTCTTCCAAACACTTTGGCCATGGCCATGTGAATTGCCTGATTCAATCCCATATGAGTGATGGGAGTTACACCACTTCCCAGCAGAAGTTCTAAGAGGCATCCGAAGACCCCACCATCTCTTTTACTCTTTCTCTCCAGCACTAAAATGGAAAATCCTAAATAGAAGTTGCTTTTTCAGTCTATGTGGGGGAATGAGCAGAACCTTGCTGAAGCCGCCCAGGCTCCACCAACATGAAAAGTGAGTGAGAAATAAATATTTGTTTTTATATTCCACTGAGATATTTTAAAAAATTGCAGCAAAGATGACTATTAAGTTGAAAAACAATGTGTCCCAAGAACAAGTGCAAATCCTGACTATAACAGAGCCATTTCCCACCTCATAGCAAATTACTATTTAATGTATTTCTGGGAACATAATAGGCTCTGCCTTGTGTTTTGACATTTACTAAGAAAAGTTAGTAGCATTTTTTTTTCCTCACATTAAAATAGCCAAAGCTCTCTGCAATTGACAATCATAAAGGCCATCTCCCCTGATGGAGAAAATTAGTTCAACATAATAAATTCCTATGCCTAGCAGAAAGTTGAACAGGAGCAGAGTTCCCTCTGAGTCCCCAAGCTGAGACCTCCAAAGGTAGAATCCTGGAGAAGGGAGGCAAAATTGTCTGCAAGATTCCCTTGGATGCCCAGGAACCCTCCTTGAGCACAAGGCCTGCGCTGGTGGTAACAAAAGCAGTGCAGCTCACAGGTTACTAATAGTGGATGAGGCTTCTCACATCACCTCTCCAGAACCTGCTTGCTCTGTGGCTGAAAGTGTTCCTCCTGTTTAATGAGCCTGGCATGACTGTCCCACTGGGTTAAAAACCTTTACCCAGCTAAGGCTTTCTGATATAATCATTTTGGGAGATGGGGAAGCAAGCTTTGAAAGTGAATTCTTCATTTGGGAATATAAACTAAGTTAAGTATGAACACAGCAATTACTACATGACTTCTAAGTCTTAAAAACTCAACTGAATTCTCAGGCCCTAGGGCTCCAAAAGATGAAAACTTTATTCTTTTATTTATTTATTCAACAAAATCTTTTGGAGACTGTACCAGGAGCTAGTTGGATTCCAAGGGGTTCAAAGATGAAAGACTTAAGCTCACAGTGTGACAGGGGCAACTCTGACAGATATGAGTCCACATAAGGCAGAGAAGCACTTGTTAAGAGCTAGCAGAAGATCGGGGAAACTTCCATGATACAGTGGCATTGAGGTGAGTCTGGAAATAAAAGGGAGCCAGCTCCCTACACTAGGTACAGACACTACCTGTTCCTGATAACTGTTCTGAGCATTTCCTCTGTGTCCATGTGGGTTATGCAGAGAGGAAAACTAGAGTAAATAAGCAGGTAGAATGAGAGACTATTGTGTTGGGAAGCTGGAAAAACAAGATGCTATTGAATAGGTACAATCGTTCCCACTTTATAGATGATAAAACTGAGACATTAAGGGGTATTTGAGGTTTCCAGGGTCCCAGATTTTTATTCTGAATATTGATTCTGTCTAGGCTTTTAGTCTTTAGCATTCCATTTTAGCACTGGAGATTTCAGAAATGGTTTGGGGAAAATTTTCTGTTTCCTGACAGGAATGGCAGTCTTGTATGAGATTTACGAGAGGTGATACATAAGAGAAAGGTTTTCCTTACTATACTTCAGATCCTGTTGTTCTTAGGGACTAGTTTATAAGGGAGGAATGATTCATTAAAGGTTGTAAATATCCTTTTGAGATGAAATGTGTCCCCATCCTTACCGTCTTTGAAGATTGCTTTTGGAACACCACTGTACAATGGACGGTGCTTTTAATAATACCAGTAACAACTTAAATCCTTCTGAGTCATGGGTAAGTTTTTCTTTTGACGACCATATTTAATTTTGACAGCTTCTATAATTTTACAAAGGATTAATTTAATTTCCTAGAAGGATTGGGTATCCAGAGCTTTCATTTTTCTGTTTGCTTTAAAAAAAGACATTCTACATTCCTGCTTGGATTTATAGCTTTGTATATAGCACTAAATTGGGTGTACTAGGAATTCTACCCATTTCTATGAACCTTTATTGAAATCATACAGATTGCTGGTAGAAGCCACTGGACTTTGGAAGCATGTATTTAAGTCCCAGTACTGTAATTGTAGAGCCCTGAGTATGTGCTTAATTCCAGCCTTAGATTCTTTATCTGTCAAAGGATGGTAAGATCTAGCATATGAGATTCATTTTGAGGTGAAGTACCATCATATTCATGAAATCATGGTGAGCTTCTTTTCATGTTATTCTATTTTTCTCTCTTCTTTTTGCTGCACTGGAAGGTCCCTGAGTTCCTTCTAATTATCACAGAAAGTAAATTATGTTCGAGGTGATCTTTAGTGGTATGGTTTTAAAGTTTGTAATTCATGTATGATAGATGGGACAAGTCTTTATTAACCAGAATATTTAATTAACTGGAACATTCTGTTTTGCAAACAACTGGGACAATAGGAATATGACTAAAATTTATTAAAGCCAATTAAAACTTAATAAAGATTTAAGAAAGTGTCATTTTTTCTTACTTTTTAAAGAGTTTTAGCCTGGGGGGGGGAGGTCTGCTCAGATACCATTTAAAAATAGGCTATTTTTGAAAAAATAAAAAAAAAACACCTTCTCTTATATAAAAATCTATCCTTAAATTAGCAGGACCTTAGAAGAGGCTTCACATCTTCTCTACTACCATCCCCCTTTTTTCAACCACCCACCCCTAATTGAATTTCCTGAGTTACCCTTTTTCTACTGAAAAAAAAAAAAAACTGTGCCCATTTTCTCAACATTCTGGTTTGTTTGTTTTCTTTAACCATCCTGTTATTTTAGATGGTGTGTTTTGTTGTTTCTGCTGTTGTTGTCACTGTTTTGAAGATGAAAGAGATTTTAATACATTGCCAGCCAAGGTGAAGAAACACATGGGAGAGGCTTTGTAAATGCAGGGGAAATAGGGTGGGAGGAGGAGATCATGGATTCATGTAGAAGACCTAACATCAGATAGAAAGAAACACACACCAGAAACATTTCCACAGTGATGATAATGGATAGACAAAAGCACAGAGACACTCTGACCTCTGAGAGAGGAAAGTGTTTGCTAACAGACAATTGTTCTCTCTTTTCAGGAAGGTGGAAAAATGGTCATATGAAAGGAAGTGAATATGAACCTGGGACTTTAGAGCATTCTCTGGGACAAGAAAGAAGGTATCCACCACCAAAAAGCAACAGTCTTGGGCAGCCGCCTCGTAGACCCAGCTGTCTTTAGAAATGAGAAGTTTGTTGGGAAACTCACGGCATAGTTATGAGATCTAGCTAGCAATCCCAGGGACTCAAGCATTGGTGGGTGGTTAGGTGGATGTGAGGAAGGGCTAAAAGACTTAATGATCTGAAACTGCTGATCAGTGAGGCAAGTGAATTCCCCTCCCTGCAGGAAGTATACAATTGGGAAAACTAGAGGGGCACCAGAGACGGGTAGTCCTGATGAAGATGATAGAGATTCTGTGATTTTATTGATGTTTTTGTCTTTTTTGTAATGGGCACAGTGTGTTATTACTGAATCCCTGAGCTGAGATAAAGGATTTTGACATTTTGAAGATGAGAAAACTAGCTACCTTGTACACTTCATTAGAAGTCACTGTGTTAAGTTCTTCAACTACAGGATTTGGTATTCAGCTTCTCTGCTACACTGTACACCCCTAATAGATTGCTTCAACCTACTTCCCATATTTTTCCTCCTCCTACCTGATGGACCTTCCCCAAACACACTCCTAAGAGCCCACGTAATGTCTCTGCCTTCTGTGCGGAGGGAAAGATCTTCCATGGTTCATTAGAAAGCTACCAAGATGTTGTTCAAGAGAAGGTCACCCACATACCTGATCTGTTCTGTCTCTCGACTCTATGTCCACAAACTCCAGAGGATCCTCGGCTCTGAAGTTCAAGGATGGGAGCAGAAGAATCCTCAGTGATAGATAAAGGAGACAGTTGTCTACTGATGCCACCGTGTGAACTGGGGCAGTTGGCTCCTGGCTTACATCGAGTGACTGATGACCTGGAGGTACCTGGGAAGACAGAGAGCAAACCAGTTTGAGAACTTCCTGCGGAAAAATCAGAAGTAGATTTTACCATATTGGCAGTCAAATATATGGCAGCAACAATCACAATTCTGACGAGCTCCTTTTTAATTCCATAAAAAGGGTTCCTAAAAAGAAAGTGCTATGTTGGTGAGCTCTGAGTTTCTAAGATAAATAATCATTTTTGGATAAATTCATTAACTAGAGATGAATATTAGAAAATGGTACTTGGATGGATATGTGTATTCTGAATTAAAACTGTTAAAACAGCCAAATAGTTTATCGCAAGGAAAGAAAAGTATTATGTGAGGCATGCTTTCCTTCCTCAGGTTGTCAAATTCATAACTGGTAAAAATGCCAAGGAAATCTCTGAGGAAACCTACTGACATGTTCCCATCAGATTGGTCATTAAAATCTATTTCATGTGTCTCCTCAATTACTGCAACCTCCATTCAGGGTCACGGATGAAAGCCCAGCCTTCAGAGTCCACCAAAGACCATGCTCCCTCCTACTCTGATTAATGCTCCCTGAATCCTCAGTCCAGGATTGGCTTTACGAGCCTGTAACTAGGACTGTCACATAGGGTGCTGGGCTCAGAGGGGACCATCCTAACACGACCTGCCCCCTCATTCTCAACTCTTCCACCTGAATGGTTCATTTGTTGACATGAAGAAATAAACATTGGCATATTACTATTTATTTACTATTATTTTTAATCTTTTCATCTTTAAAATTTTTTTTTAAAAATTTATATATGACAACGGAATGTATTACAATTCTTTTTTTTTTTTTTTTAAGAAAGCAACAGTGCTTTTTAATGAACTTTCTTTCAAATCTGTGAACATGCTCGCTGTGAAGTAAATGTTTTTATTCTTTCTACAGAACATATTTTAAACAATGATCACAGTGTTAAGGTTAATAAGATGCTGGACAGATGAGTAGCCAAAGAACGTTACAAAACAACACAATCTCACCAACAATATATCAAATGCAAATTTACTGAGACATCAAGAAAATAGCTAGAAACATCATTACAGTAACTAAGTCTGTAAAACTAGGGGAAAAAGCACTGTATAACAAAAAGGCCTTTCATAAGCTATCAAGGGAGCACACGTTATAGACAAACCAAGTTTCTATTTGAAGTAGCGTGTAGCACCAACACATTGGCAGGACCAGCAGAGGGGCAGTGGTGTTGAACCAAGGCATCTGGGACAGGAAGGGATCTCAGGGGTTGTCTGCTGCCAGCCCCTTGTTTTAAAATGGGAAAATGGAGGCCCAGAGAGATGAACTGCCTTGTCCAAAGTAAGATGATAACAGGATAGGCTAGAAAATGACTGAGGGCTAAAATACAGGCCCCGACTTTAGGTCAGTGCTCTATTTTGATATACTTATATAACTCTGATTTAAGGTATCTTTTCCTATTGATCTATTATCATGAAATAAATAGATCAGTACAATTCATACTATACTCTGGTATTATGTTCATTTCACCAAGAAACACCTGACATGTATGGTTGTTATTTACTTCTTGGGCCTGTATATATCTTAAATAAAAATTCAGAGGAATCAGAGGATACTATTTTAGTTATAAATTGGTTGAAAAGTCAGCATCTGAAGAGAAAATTGGCACTTCTTCCACTATGAAAATTAATCTATGCCTCAAAATTACCGAATTGTTGGTACAAAGTTGTTGTTTTTTTTCCTGATAGTTTAAAGATTAGTAAAATAGACACATAGTCCAAACATGGAGCCTGCAAAAAGCAGGCCTTTCCTTTAAAACAGTAAGGTACTTTTCACTTTAATAAGGTAAGGAATTTAAAAACCTGAAATTTTTCTTAGAAAAGGAAAAAAGTATTTAGTCACAACCCATAAATTGTGAACCACCTCATATAGAAAGTATTTCTCTATTAAAAAAAAGTGTTTTTGTTAAATACTTTGGAATCTTATGTTTGGCCTAGCCTATCTTGCCATGGTGATGAGACCTCAACTGGACAGATTTATGATGAACTAATGAAAATATAGGAATGAAAAAGGAACAAGATCACTGTCAACAGAAGCAGCATTACAGACAAAGTATATTGAGTGTATTTAAATAGTTCAATGGGAATGAAGCCAAGAAGCTGCCTGTATATATTTAAGTGTGTCATTACAGTGGTAGCAGAAAAAAATAACACACATTGGCATCTACCATTATCACAAACCAACTGCTGGAGACGTTTTAACTGTGGCTTCACAAGTAGAACAGACCAGATAAATAAAAGTGACTTCTGCATATCATATATATGTATACATATATTATATTTTCCTCACATAGTATCTAGTTATAAGTAAATCAACATGTGGTTACAATTTCCCCCCTCTTGTGTCATCATCAAAGGACAATTTGATTCCATTTTTTTTATGAACATGCCCTACACCTGGTTAGGAAATTATATGACATTTATACTCATAGCCTTTATTCTATCTGACCAGTAAAAATAAAATGAAATCTCCTGGGACCTCAAGCCCATTTCTTACCATAACAAACAAATTAACAAATATATAGCAAAACATGCTTGTTTACCGTTAGGCAAAAGACTGTTTTAATGCTAAAGAATAAACTATGCTGGCTGCTAATAATGTGCACAAAATGGTATAATAAGAGTGATTTCATGAAAAGATTCTGTAGTAAGCTGTTATAAATATTTAAAGAAACATGTTAAAAATTAGAGTGAAAATAAACTCAGTGTTCTGAAACTATCCGTAGAAAAATATACTTATAAAAAAAAGAATGTCTCATTAAGTGAAGCATAAAATGTGAAGTTGTTGTCTTAGTGTACATTTCCAATTTCACCTTTTGAAAGGCAAAAGCTTTCTCTCCTATGCAGGTGCCTGTAATTTACTTGGGACTGAGTATTTCACAGAACCAAGCAGTAGGTGACAAAAGGTTGAGGGCAGTGCTGTGACTTTCACAGGGTCAATTCACAGTGCTGAGTCGACGGGTGAGTGGGAGGAACACTGACTACGTTCAAGCCATTTAAAAACAGGACTGTATTTGCTCACCACCAATGAGCATGATGTTCAAGCCCAGAGCATTGGATTTTAAAAGGTTTTGCTTTTCAGGGCAGATTGTACATAAGTAAGGAAACCATCGTAAATAATTTTTTCTCAGGGTTGAATCCTCTGTGATTAAGTTTTTAACCCTTCATTAGTAGTTCTTTTTAATGAGCTGAAAGTGGACTAAAGTGTCATATCCTCAGTATGGTTTGGCCCCTAATTAAAAAGGAGCCTTCCTTCCTCTCTGATAAAGTCACGATGCCCCTTTGGCCAGAAGAGATGCATGCCTTTGGCTTCCCCATAGACATCTTGAGGACATAAGTCCTATCTTCTCAGAGGAAGGCTGAGAAACTCCATGTCCAGCAGCTGGGACCCTATGGTCCAAGGAGTGTACCACTGAGTCCAAGTCCCTCCTGGGAAGCTTGCAGTTCCCCTTGGAGGGTCTGTGGACAGGCAGGGTTGAAACTGCAGACATCTGGGGAGAGCATATGAGTCCTGACACCTTAATGTTTTAAGTCTATTTCTTATTACACATATAGAGCATGATTTTTCATTTATCTGGTTGTGTACACAGTATATTCATACCAATTCATATCTTTACACCTGTACTTTGGATAATAATGATCATCACATTCCATTATCATTAATAACCCCATGCCCCCTCCCTTCCCCTCCAACCTCCTCTGCCCTATCTAGAGTTCGTCTATTCCTCCCATTCTCCCACTCTACTATTTAAACAAATTCCAAACTTCATTTGTACTCCATTAGTTCTCACTAATGTCCTTTTTCTATTTCAGGATCTCATCTAGGATACAATATTATATTGAGTCATCACATCTCTTTTGTGACCTATGATCTGTGACAGTTCTTTAATCTTTCCTTTCTTTTTCCATAACCTTGACAGTCTTGAAGACAGCTGTTAAAGTATTTTTTAGAATGTCTCTGAATTGGGGTTTGCCAAAGGTTTTGTTCTCATGGTTGTATTGAGGATATGGGTTTGAGGGAGGAACACCAGAGAGATAAAGTCAGCTTTCCATGTAACATCAATCATTATATGCTACCAATATGACTTACCATGGATAATCTTAACCCTAGTCACCTGGCCAAAGTAGTGTTCATCATGAGGTACTTTCATTTGGATTTTTAATGTCTCCCAAAGTCTCGTGTGTTGAAGGTGTGGTCTCTAGCTGGTGGCACTATTGAGAAGTAGTGGAAACTTTAGAAGGTAAGCCCTGGTTGGAAGAGGTAGGTTATGGGGGAAGGCCTTTGAAGGGCATATTTTGTCCCCAGCCCCTTCTTCTCTTCTGCCCTCCCCCCCTTTCTCTCTGCTTCCTGGCCACCAAGAAGTGAGTCATAATGTTCAGTCTCTCACTTCAGCCCCAAAGCAAAAGGAACCAGCTGACTATGAACTGAAACTTCTGAAACCATGAGCCCCAAATAAATATTTTCTTCTTTTATTTATCGCAGGTATTTTGTCACAGCAATGCAAAGCTAACACATCAGGTTTCTCAGCTTTTCCTGCTTTGTATATTCTTTGGTAGCCAGTCATGAAGTCCAGTGCACGTTTTGGGGTGAGAAATTGGTTTTAAGCTTTATTTTCTAGAGGGGGAGTGTCTGCATATATTATCTGAAATTTTCATGTAAAGATGTGTCTCTTTTCCTCCCTTTATTAATCCATTCAACAGTTTATTTATGTTGGACTCATATATAGACTCATATATATTTAGTTCATACTTTGAGTTATGATCAAACTTGTTTACTTCTTTTGCTCAAATTTTGCTCAAATCCAGCTTTGACCATGGGGAACACTTTGAGATTGCCTTCTGTGTTCTTTTGACATGACTTTTTGAGTTCTTCCTTACTCCTTGATGCTCTGAGCTCATCTTTTATTTTCCCTGCCTCACTCCTAGAATGTATAATTTCTTCAGGGACTCCTATTTCCTTAGAGAAAG